AGGACTTAAAGTCACCAAGGTTGAGAAACACTGGTCTAGACCTCCTTTTGCCAGCAAGCCAGCTGGGGAACTGGCCTCCCCAGTCTGTCCTCCGGTTCCTCGTCGTTCCCTAAAAGTAGCCGTGGGCTCAGCAAATCCATCAATGCTGGTTAATGAATTCCGCAAGAGCCCCGGCTTCTGATTATGGCAGCCTCTGATGCTCCTGGTAATGAGGGAGCTTGAATTGCAGCGAGAAATCTCCAAGTGAGATTGCTCCCCTTGATTACTTGCAGGGGGTTCTCCTCTCCCTCTGCATTTCATGAGGTTCGGTTATTAGTTCGAGAGTATATTATGAGATCTTAAAATTAGCCTGCAGTGTGAATCTCAAATTGGGCTACCTTCAGCTTGGAGAATTGCTTCCTGGGGGTGGCTTCCTGGCCATCGTCCTTTCCCTGTCTGGCTCAGACTGGAGACCTGGGAAGGGCTGTGCTTCTCCTCCGGGGGTCCTTTCCCTTCCTGGAACCAACAAGGCAGGGTGTCTCCTGGGATGCCCTCCATGCTGAGCACGCACGCACACACACACACACACACCCCAGAGGTGGAATTCAGCAGGTTCTGACCAGTTCTGGAGAACCGGTAGTAGAATTTTTGACTAGTTGGGAGAACCAGTCAATACCACCCCTGGCTGGCCTCGCCCACATCTATTCTCTGCCTCCTGAGTCCCAGCTGATCGGGAGGGAATGGGGATTTTGCAGTATCCTTCCCCTGCCACACCCACCAAGCCATGCCCACCAAGCCACACCCACAGAACCGGTAGTAAAACCTTTTATGACACACATCCACGCACGCCGTGAATAGCGATGGCATTTCTTGGGAGAACCAGGGAGAAGCGGCTGCTGCGAGATGCCTCCTTACCCGGCCTGGAAGCTGTCGGGCACCAACTTTTTCCTCCTTTCACTTTTTTCGAACCCCCGGGTGATTTTCGGAATATCCTTGCTCCTCAGCTGGGAAACAACAACCCCACCCTGTTTTCCCCAGCTGAATCACTCGACGGCCTCCTCAGAACAAATCAGAACCAAAAAGGCCACTTATTCGCAACAACATGAATTTAAATCTTTGTTTCAGAGCTTTGTTAAATGCCAGCAATCATCTCCTAATGCCAGGATCGCTGATTAAAAAGTAGAAGCCGCCCAGCTCTTCCATCCCTCCCCTCCCCCTTTCTCTCTCTCCCCTCCTCTAAGGGATCGGGAGGGGCCTTGCAGATGTTTTAGTTGGTTCACGGTTCTCCAGTTATCCCCCGTTCAAGACGTGGCTGGATTTGTTTCATCCCTTCGGCTTTGAGAGTCACTAATATGAGAAACCTGCACAGAATGCGAGCTTGAAGAGGAAGGAGAAACAGCTTCCCTCTTTAAAACAATTGTTTTCTGTGCCATAACGACTCCTCTGGGCATCTGTGCGCTCTCTCTTTGCCATTTACAAGGTGGGGGGCATTTCTGAAGTCCCGGGGTTTTTTAATAGCCATTTTATTAAGATTTACTATTAAAGAGATAAAACTAATATAAAAAAAAAATTAAAGGGACAAAAACTAGGAAGCGCCAAAAGGGGGAGAAAAAAACAGAAAAGAAGAAGTGAAAATATAGTAAAGAAAAATAAAAGAAATATATAAGGAAATGACTTTCCCTTTCATCACAAGTGTAAAAACTTGCCACCTTCTCTAAAAAACACCTTCTCTTCCTCCCAAATCTCACCTCTTATCTGTAAACGAATCCTTAAAGCCTCATCTGCAGTCCTGATCAGCAAAGTCCATTAAGGTTACCAGAGATAACAACATACCTATTTCAACTTTGATCAAAAAAACCAACTTTAAAGTCCTTCGTTTTGCTTTTAACAATCTTGATCTTTAGTCCCTTCAAATAACGTCCTAGAATTTGATTTCTTTTCATTTCTTCTTTGTCCCTCCTCGCAAAATTCTTCAAAGCTTTAACAAGTCGCTTTTGTAAATCCATTATAGGAAAGTTATCCAGCTCAGTCTTGTGGTTTGTTTTTTTTGTCTTATCCCTTTTTAATTATTAAGACATTACGTCATTGCATCCATGGAGACAGACACAAAATTAAAATTAACTCCTGGGTTCATTCTGGTGTGGGGTTTTTTTTTTAGGAGAGAAATCACACTTCTACTCTTAGTTAGCCTTTTTCGTCCCACTAGGAGTGTCCAAACGTGGGAACTTTAAGACTTGTGGACTTCCAAGTGTGCAAGTCTTAAAGTTTCCATGTTTGGATACTCCTGGACTAGTATATGTAAATGTCGTTCATTATTTGGGGGTAGTAAAAAATGGAGCATTGATGCTTCAGAGATGTCAGAGAACAGGAAGGAGGTCTGGAAATGCAGGTAAGAGCAGCTTTGGTGTTAAAATCCTGGTAAGGTTTCTTGTTGGATTGCCAGTCACTGAGATTGTCCCCTTTTGTGTTTTTTGACCTGTTTCCTTCCAGTCCCACCACGTAACCTGAGGATTGAGTCCCAGAAGGACACTGCAGTGGAAGGAGAGGAGATTGAGCTGAATTGCACGTCCATGGCCAGCCGGCCAGCCACGATGCTCAAATGGTTCAAAGGCAGCAAGGAGCTCTTTGGTAGATCCACCCCCCCTCCCCCACCCATCAACTTAACCAATGGTGTAGATTTAGAGGTGCCTTGGGAGGAGGGAGATGAGGGGTGATCTGATCTCAGATGCAGAGACCAGGCCTGGTGTGGCTTCTGCTGGCCGCCTTGGTTTTATTCTGTGGGGAATGCAGGATTGACTCATATTATGACCTTCCTACTTGAGAGCCAACAGTCAAAGTACCCGAGGACATTTCGGAACCTGAAATCAGGCAGCTCACCCAATATGTTCTTGAACCACCAATGCAACCTATCCAGAACCAGCAGGAAGCCTCTCCCCAGCTCAGAGACAGCTCTCCCCAGAAGTTCCTCCTAGGAGAAAAGATGGGGTGCCTTGTCTGTCAGCTTTACTATAGACCCCTTGGCCCCCGGCAGAGGACACCCCATTCTTTGCTATCTGATCCATCTCCTTCTAAAGCCCTGGGTCGCATCTGTAGTTTCTTTTAGATGGTCAGCCAGCACTGGGAAGCGAAGTACANTTGTTGTTGTTGTTGTTGTTGTTATGCAATGCCAAAGTCCTATGAGAAAGAACGGAGAGCTATCTCTTCATTCATTTAGCAACCCTGGATTTCTCCGGTTGCCCATTCTCAGCCTTTCAGCTGCACTGCACTCCGGATCCGTCCACAGTCGACCTATGACATAAACCTGGGGATTAAATGGATATTGTTGTGGTTAGTTCTATTTATATACCGCTAAATCAGCACAGACTCGAGCCGCTTTGCAAGCAAAGGCCAGGGGCCTCCCCAGCCGTGAAAACAAGCAGTGGGTCTCGATCAATAATTCTGGAGTGAACCTGACCATCATTTTGGAGTTTGCTGTTGAGCTTCTTACATTTTTAGCTGGCTCTTGCGGTTTGTTGTGGGGAAGTGAACTTTGAGTTCCCCGGGTCAAGTACAAGCATGCAAGATGTTCCTGGTCCCCTTGACTGACTCGGTAAAACCTGCCTAAAATTCTACGGGTGTTTTATTTCTAACAAGCAAAAGAAAAGGCGAAATGTTGCCCAGCCAGTCGGGGCATGAAGATGCCATGAATGCTGGTTTCCTTTGTTCCGGGCCTTTGGGTTTTAGCAGCAGACCCCCCCTCCTCTTCTCAATGTAATAAGGGAAATCCAGGCCGCCCAACAAAGCCCCTCTTCTTTCTGGCTTTTTAGGCAAATCTCTTGTGCAAATTTTCAGCTGCTCTGAAGCTGCCTGGCGCTATCAAAGGACAACATTAATTTGGATTGGTGCATTGGGTGGGTTTGGCACAGACTCAACTGGCGGGCTGGGGGTGGGTGGGGGGAGAGACTCCCTGGACCGTTTCTGATCTGAGATCAGCTAAGCTGGAGGGAGACCACCTGAGCGCTTCTGAGCGGCAGATGGACCGGGTGGTCTCCTGTCCATCAATCATCGTCTCAGAAAAAGGCCGTAAGTGACATCCTTAGGATGCCGAGGAAACTACATAGATGGGTGAGGAGCCAGGAATGGAACACGGTTTGAAGGTGGGTTTATTGTGGGAGATGAGGGGGGGGAGGCTTTGGCATAGAGAGGGCCTGTGGGGGCAACCAGCTTCGGAGAACCCGAGTGGAGTTGTGCAGTGGTTCTCCAACCCTCTGTGAAGAAAGAAAGTTGCCTTGTGCCTCCCTGCAGCCCCTTGCCCCCTCCTCTACATGGGGCAGCCCTTGAAGAGTATTCGGAGACTACAACTCGTCCAGAATGCAGCCGCGCGAGTGATTGTGGGTGCACCT